GCCGGTTCTGTGATTAGTAGTAAATCTCCAGCACGTGCTTTCAGATGGAGCAGCATTTACTACACAGAGCCGTAGATTACTGACAAGCTACGCAAAAATCGCGTTCATAACGTGCTGGAGATTTACTACTAATCACAGAACCGGCTTTACTGATGAGATGAGCATGAAAATCGCATTCGATTTTTTGCACAGCCCTAAGCATATCGATCACAAGTACAGTGCCACAAGACTCAGTCCTATGACCCTTGCTTTTCACGCTTTACATGTTACCCTTGGGAGATATCATCAGGAAACATGATGTTTAGCTTTCACTGCTATGCTGATGATACTCAGCTCTAGATTTCTTTGTGGCTCGATGAAACATACCAATTCGCAAAAATAACAGAATGCATAGTTGATATAAAAAAAATTATGAAAAAAATGTTAAATTATGAAAAAACAGAGGTGTTAATTATTGGACCAAAAACCACTGCATGTAATAATCTAGAACACTGTCTAACATTTGAAGGCTGTGCTGTCAATTCTTCATCATCAGTTAAGAACCTAGGTGTGCTATTTGATGGCAATATTTACTTTGAAAGTCACGTTTCTAGCATTTGTAAAACCGCATTTTTCCATCTTAAAAATATATCTAAATTACGACCTATGCTCTCAATGTCAAATGCAGAAACGTTAATTTCATGCGTCCATTACTTCAAGGTTATACTGTTAATATACTGTTAAGATTATTGTAGTGCTTTATTGGGTGGTTGTTCTGCTGTTTTGAATAAAATATTAAATGTAAAATCCCACATCAAGAATAAATAAAATTTTTAGCTGTTACCTTGCCAAAAGCTGAAGTTATCAGACTCTGCATGGCAGGCAGACAGAGGTGGGTGATGACTGACCTAGAAAGAAAAAAAATTAAAAAAATAAAAATGTTAAAATGCAATTACTCCAAATACAGTCCTTCATATTGTATGTCTTATATATTAAGTGCTCATACCTGCTCTGCAATATAACGGAAACCATGATCCTCCCGCACATTCTCATACGTTTCCCCTAGAACAGGGTTAAATGGTTTGTAACGATTACGCCAGCTGGCCCAGGCATAGCCTGAAATAGAGAACGCAGCCACATAAACCTGAAAGAGAGAGGGAAAAAGGGAAAAATAAAAATAATACCTCGGACTAATGCTGCACATGCAGTCAAATCCACTAATTGAAAGTTATCTTCATAAACGAAACGAAAATTACAATTAAAAAAAATATATATAAATATATAGTTTTAGTTTTTGTTGCTGCAGTTTAATTAGAATTTAGTTACACAAGCCAGATGGACTAGGTATTTTAAAGTGAAGGCTGTCATTATTCTTTTACACACATGCAACTCATGATACAGAGCAGCTGCATTATGAGTTCCACAGTAAATGCAAAGAAAATATTCTCCATTCTTTGTTAACAACGCAAAATGCTTTATTGCATGACATTAAATCTGGGTTTCCCAAACCGGGGTTCATGAAGGAACTGCAGGGGGTAGAGAGTTGATGAAAAGCTAATTAAATCAATGTAAAATTCCACACACACACACACACACACACAAAAAGGTCGCACTTTATTTTAAAGGTCCAATTCTAACTATTAACAAACCATTAACTATGACATTTGCTTCAATAAACTCCTAATTTGCTGCTTATTAATAATTAGTAAGATAGTTGTTAAGTTTAGGTATTGGGTAGGATTAGGGATGTAGAATATGGCCATGCAGAATATGTGCTTTATAAAGCACTAATGAACAGCCAATATGTTAATAATATGCATGCTAATAAGCAACTAGTTAATAGTGAGAACTGGTCTCTATACTAAAGTGTTACTAAATAAATAAATTCAATTTGTTCACCTTTACCAACATATTTGCACATTTATCTGAATTATTGTCTTAAAATATTTTATTTTATTTATTAATATAACAAATATTTTAGGTTAAAGGGATTCAGCTGAGAAATCTTGGAAATTCCTGCAATACTTATATAACATTAATAAACATGAAAAACTCAATGGCATTACACTGCCCAAGTTTTCCAGGTTTACAGACTTCCAAAATAAATAATTAGTGAAGACCACTGGATATATATATAAAAAAGACATTATTTTGACATCACAAATGCCATCCATGAGAGGTAACAGATCAGATGAGTTGTATTATTTTAATTATAACACTTATAAGATATATTTGGCAATGCAACATCTCCACTACATTCATCTTCATATTCGCTTACTTTTTACATTTGCTTAAATTTCCAACATTTCTGGAGATGGTTTACATATTTTACCAGTATTTTAACTCTGCAATGAGAAGCATTTATAAACCTGTTGTCAACCAAATAAACACTCTACAAGGGTCATGAATTGCATTTTAATTTTAAAATGTTACTAAGTTTTTTATTTAATGTATTTTTTTATGTGCCCTTTAAGACTAACTTAGTATTAAGTAACATAACTTAGTGTTGGGTAACCAGTGGTGTAATGTAACGAAGTAATAATACTTCGTTACAGTACTTAAGTATTTTTTGGGAGTATCTGTACTTTACTTGAGTTTTTATATTTCAGCCAACTTTTACTTTTACTCCACTACATTTCCTAATTAAAATGTATACTTTTACTCCGATACATTTCCCCGAAGCATATTCGTTACTTACTACAAAATAGTCAGAAGTCAGAAGAACACGGACTGTAGAGAAGCAGGTTTGATGAATCAGTGGTCTGGCGTTTGCAAGTTAGACTCCTAAAAACACCTTTGCTCATGTGCAAACAAGTGCGCGCACAACCGCGGATGATTCATTTTCCAATCAAGTTGAGTTTGGGGCATGCGATACAGCATCGTCTGTGATAATATGGTAAGTGTTGTTGTAATGATGTGCGATCGGACATTATCAAGTAAGCTATATCACCAAATCACACACAGAAGCTTTTTGAACGAATCGGTTGAATAAATGATTCAGTGATTCACTCATTAACACAGTCAAATGCTTGGTTTCTGAATGAATCAGTCGTTTGAATGAATCTGTTGATTCTCAATGACTCACTCATTAACAGTCACTTGCTGTCACCTACTGCCGGTTTTAATTTCACATTTCGACTTTTTTTCATGTTTTAAATTATTTCAAATATCAGTATTCAATGTTATGTTAAAAAAAAAAAACATTAGGACTTTTTACATCAGGCCATTAGGCCATTTATGCATCTGTAACTGCAGTTTAAATGCATCCATGTCCCCCTCTGAGATACATAAACTGTGTAAATACATCTAAATGCTATTTCAGATGCAGATTCCAGAAATGTTTTCTTATGTTGGAATGAAGTAATATTCTAAACGGTGACTTCAACTTCTACCAAAGTCATTTTCTGGTATGATATCTGTACTTTTACTTGAGTATGGCTTTCAGGTACTTTATACACCACTGTGGGTAACAAGTATTAAACACGGACAACTGTTGAAACTTGATTATGGATTAGAGTTGCTGCAATTAACTAAAGTGTGGATTACAGTGTTATGTTCTCATAACCATCAAAGTGTTAGACAATCTAAATCATCATGAGCAGGAAACAAAGTGAACTAGTAATTTCAAAGTTTATATTGTCTTTCCTTGCCATCCACAAAAAAAATTCTCAATTTTAACAATTATATGTTTATTTTAAAATGCTCTTAGTCTTGAACGGTCAGAGTCTTTGAGTTTTAGCAAAAGTATTGATCTATTTTGCTGCTCACTGTGTTTCTGCTTATTTTTAAAACTACCGCGTCATCCGCAGCTCTTAATGGTGCTTTAGTGTCTTTATAGAGGAGCAATGCACACAGGACGAGTTTGAATGAAGCCTGTTTGGCTCGAGATTAAAATACTATTAAGAGGATATAACGCCGAAAGATCATTACAATAAATTACCCCGAGTGCTCGTGGTGTGAACCGCTCCATTGTTTTGACATGCTGCTCACTTTATTTAGAAATGGTAAAATCGTTCTGCCGTTGCCATTATGTCTCGCGGTCTGGTTGGAACCAAGCCGAGGTCCAGAACCAGACCACAGTCCGTCATTTGAATATGCCTGTCTTAGAGCCAATCAGACAGTGATAATGTGATCAGAACTGAACCAACCAAGAATCAGAATTTCAGAAGACCCCAACATAAACATGCAGGACAATAAAATCAGGGATCCTGGCACAAGCAAGTCTGAAGCGAACTAACTCCTCACAGCTTTAAAGCAGAGGACGCTTGTATGAGATGGTCCAAACGTTGTCAACTTTAGGCCGTTAGCCTGAGACAAATGGTTAAAAAGACAACACATTGTGACTCACGAGGAAATCATTGAGACCAAATTGGTTGATTTCCCCCACCCAAAACAGAGAACTACTCTACAACATGGGATTATTCAATGCATGCTGATGAACTTTTATCATTGTTTATAGTTATATGGAAACGAAAGAGGTTAACATTCAACCTGTTCTTTTTCATTAGTAGTATTTGTGATTTGAATTTTGTGAACAGGAGTTCCTCTTGCTATGTTATAAGCCGCGGGCTTCGGATGCTTTCGCTTTTGAATTTGCGATCTTGTCACGTTTTACAGGAAAAGATAATTGTCTGTTTTGCTTACATCTATACCTTTCACTTTTTAAGACTAAAACAAAAGATGGATCCATTGTTATTCTTAATTAAAGCACAACAACAATAAAACAGTAAAACAATGACAAACTAGCTTACAAAACGTTAACAAAAATGAATAAGATGAGGCATGGCATACACCACATGCTGTATTATATACGGACGAATAAATTACAGAACATTTAGCAAACACTGAGGAATCAAATAAATAAATAAAAGAGAGTCTCCATA